GCTTCTGAGAGAGAAGTCATTACGACCGGGTTTTAGATTGAATAAGAGTAGAATATCTCTTCTGAATGCCTATGATAGGACTATTCCCGTTTTGGAGACCTTTCATAGAACCAACAGACCATCCTACTTTGACACACCCTGGAAGACCCTGGCACACACTCCCATCTGTGATCTTCTATCTGGCAACCTACTTAACGATCTTTCACAATCTGACAAAAAGCTCAAATCTCTTATCAGAGAAAACTATCAAAACCCTCTCACGATCTATACTGACGCAGCTTATAATGCGAAAACTGAATTAGCCGCCTCGGCTTTTTACGTTGAGTCCACTCACTTTTCCCTCATCAATTTGGTCCATCCATCCTTACGGCTGAGCTCTATTCTATCCTTAGAGCCATCCTATATGCAAAAGAACAAAATAGCTCCCAGGTTTTGATTGTCTCAGATTCTTTATCTGCCTTATCCAAAATTTCCAACTGCTTTCTGTTCCGGGACAATAACTATCTGGTATATAAAATCCCTTCCTGTCTATATGAGGTTTCCAAGTTCACACGATCCATGGAGGTCAGATTCCTGTGGTTTTCTGCCCACATTGGAATCTCAGGAAATGAAAGAGTGGATAGAATCGCTAAGGCTACAAACAGATTCTCAAATAGAATTGACCTTGCCCCCCCTCCCTCTGATCTAAAAAGGGGAATCCTTGCCAGACTGTGGCCCTACGTGGAGGAAGGTAAACAGCAACGAAGATACTTCTCTCAAATAAGATATGACACTCCGAGACCTTGGTTTGCGCAAAATCTACTGAATACTATCTTAATACCTGCTTATAAATTTTGTAATTTGAATGTACATTGTATTTGAATTGTTGTTCTCAAGGCTTGCCTAGGACAAAATAAATAAATACTAAATACTAAATACAAATCAATCTAATCACCAGGCTTAGAACTGGACATATATGCACGGCGGATCACCTCTCAAGATTTCACCTTGATGATGCTTTAAGATGTTCCTGTGGCTCGGACTGGAGGAGCCTTGATCACCTGATCTTTGAATGCCCGTTGTTGGCTTTGTCTAGACAGGGATTTTTTGACTTTCTTAAACGTAGAAGACCTAACATTGAATTGTCCGAGGTCTCTTTGGACGAGTTCATTTTCGCTCCGGATATGGAGACTGTTGGAGAGTTTGGCAAACATCTCTGTTCCTCGGAGTTGGTAGTCTAGCGCAGCTCTGAACTCATGTCACTCTTAGGCCCATTCATGTGGATGTTCTTGCCGATAGAACCATCCACTTTGAAGATCCTTCTTTGGCAGGACCTAAGCAATGGCGTCAGCTCTGACTTAGTGATTGCTTCCTCCTTATGGAGCTACTTGTGCTCTCTTGTAGTCTCTGTCTGTGATGAGTTCTAATCAATTTTGATTTGACTATAAATGACATATATTTCTCCACAACTTTGTGGCTCCTCGCGGAATATTCAATTTGCTCTGGGTTGTATTGTCCAACCTATACAGTGGATACTTATCGGGATGTCGTAAAAAAAATATCTCTTTATTTGAATCGAGCGCGGTCCCAATATTTACCCTTGCCCCTCTCTCCCTCGAGCATTGCCCAACATCATGGAGAAATAACAGGAACACAATTGTGTTCCCTCACTAACGGGACACGTGGGAATCTATCTGCCTATAAACAACTTGAACGTTCCGCTTGAGCCTTTGTGATAGTTCACTGTGTTTACACTTTGTTTCTGCTTTTTTTCTGATTATTTATTGTTCTGACAGTTGGCTGTGCCTCTAGTCATTAAGAAGAAGAAGAAGGATTAAATTTAACCCTCCTGATTGGCTCTCGGTGTAGCTAGCCTCTATGTACAAGAACATGTACATTTTCTTGTATACAAATATTAAATATATTTTCTTCCATATCTTGCACAAGATCTGGTACAAGATCTGATACACGAACTTGTTCCAAATTCTGGTGCAAGAAAATGTACATTTTCCATACCAGAACTGGTACAAGTTCAGCTTCTGAACACGTACATTTTCTTGTACAAGATCTTGTACAGGGATTTTCAATAGGGTAGATTATAATAATATTATAATATTCTTATAATTATTACGATAAATTATTAATTTAAAATTTTAATAAAAATTATACAAAAATTAGACTCAAACTGTTACTATACACGCACTAATACGTAAAATAACACAACTAAAGTAAATTTACGTCAGAATGATAATTTACAACATCGGACTTAAAGCAAATAGTTTCCAACGTCTGACATTGCATAATTACAAGTTTTGTGTTAATTTGCAGTGTAGAACGAAATAAAATTTACACATAGTAGTGTAGAATTATAATTCCAGGTTAAATTACTACGTATAACGATGTAGATTTACCATATCGAACGTTGTATTCTTGCTGAGTGAAATAACAGCTAGGACGCATGTTAAAATACAATATCTTTTTTACAGTGTGTAACATGATAACTTTGTCATTCCATAAGGTCTCAACTGGTTAAAATAATCTAATTATATTCGCATTATTGTTTAAACAAACATTACCACATTATATTTAATTTACAATATGGTATTTTTATTATTTAACAAAATAATTATTACAATTTAGATTTTGAGATTATAGAAAAAACTATAGGTATAACGTATTATGCATTGTGCAAAAATATTTTAATAAGTTCACATTTTTTAATACTTAAAAAATAATTTAAAACGGTTATTTATTAATATGTTTAATAATAATAATAATTAATAAAAATTCCCAGATAGCACAACACAGAAAAAACTGAACTCAGAATGAACTGTGTAGGCTGCTCATTCTGAGGTGCAACAAAAATGAGACTAGGTTTTTTCTGTGAACTGTTTGCTGCAATTTTACAGTTTACAATGCCAAGGTGTAAGTTGTCACTGTCACGTCCCGAGCTAAGGTAGAGTTTATTTATTATTTATAATAATAAAAGGGAGATAAGTTGCTGATTAATCAGGTTGGTAAAGCCTGATATTTATTTTTAATGTAGGATCGTGTCAGTTTGTCAAAACTAAGGGTTTTGTGTCAAGCGATTAAAGAAAAATATTCCTTTTTATGATTTGCAATTTATTAATAACAATATATAATTACAATACTACTTACAATTGATTCGTTGAAACTTAGTAATGTAACAAGCGGCAATCAGGATTACAAATATGTGTCTCTGGATGCGTTGTTATACAAATCATAAATTGTTACACTTACACAATTTAGATTTTATACGACAGTTTAGAATTATTTAACTCGAACAAAAGAATTATATTGCTTAAAATAAAGAGAAACTTGTTTCTCTTTTACAAAACTTTTGTAAAACTCACTAAACTCGCGGGTTTAAATAACGAAGTTTAAACAATTACAAAACTGAAGGGCCGATTCTCAGACACTATTCGGGCAGAAGCTCGTCCGATTAACTAACATTTTGCAATAGAAAAACTGGAGTTTATATACTACATGATCTTTGTTCATTGGGGTAGAATTGTCACGTATAATTTGCAGACAGCGCAATTATCACGTACAATTTTCATTTAGCGCAAAAGTCACGTACATTATTTATTAATAGAATTATAATAATATCTTAATTAATTTATTAAAATTTTAGTTTATTGATTATTAATTAGTTGATTGCAGTCACTTAGGATGTATAGTGATCGACAATTGATATTATGAAAAATAATATTAATATCGAGTAATGATCAATAATCTTATTGAATTCTTTAATCTACTATATATATATAGTAGATTAATATATATATAATATATATATATATATATATATAACACATCTGCTTTATGCGAGTCTTCAGCATTCAGAGGTGTTATATTACATCTATCTTTCACTATTAACATCGTGAATGACTCATATGTATGTAATGACCTTTATTTAAAAGAGATAATTTAATTTGTTCATGATCCATCTTTTAAGAATTTTTTGGTACCGGGATGTAACAGTCACGGTCAATTTGCTACAAAATTATGGTAATTTGCTATATATCTAAACGTTTTTAACTTTGCATTGCAAGTTTGCAGCAAATTTTTATAGCAAAAATCAAGAAAACTTTCACAAAATATTCCAAAAAACAGTTTTTAAAAACTTCTTTAATATGTAGAAATTCATTTATAAATTTGCGTACAATTTTACGTGGTATTTTGAAACATTTTTGCGTGGAATTATACCCAAAAAATTAGGAACTTTTTATAATTTCTTAATATATAGTATTATATGCAGGAAAAAGTCCTAAAACCCCTACCGGGTTTCAATATTCAGAGATGATGTTTATTTTTATTTATATGGGGTCACACTGGACTAGTCAATATTTTGAAACTTTCAATGCATAAGCTTTAAATTTGCACTCACTAAAGTAGGTTGCTTGTAAATACCGCTGCAGTTTTTGTGCCTAACAACCAGAATAATAAATTCCATCAATTAATTAATACTTGCAATACTAAAAAAACATTAAAAACACCGCTACTTTAAGAATCTACTTACAGTGCTATGTAATTGGAAGAATTTTGTGTAATAATTATAATGAATTTTTTTCCAAATAGCACAAATTCTTACACAAATATCTTTTCTGAGTATTTTTATATAAAGTCTGTAATATGTAATATTCAAACCAGGTTGATGCAAGTTTAATAATATTCTTTACTCGAACCCGTGTAAAAAATTGTCCCATGTCCAGCAATGTAATGATAATAAACCCCAAGTAAATTTCCTTGTGTTGTTTACGTATGTTGCACCCAGAAAAAACAAAAGCTTACCTAATTTGCTTTTATACTATATCTGGACCTGTACGTAATTTAAGTCCTGAATATTTGTACAGATTGTTTTAGTGGAGAGGGGTAATACGTAATTTTCTACTTATTGTATCAAATCCATGTATTTTAGGCCAATATATCGTAATTGTATTTTCGTAAAGAAATTTATAGTGATTTGAAATAAACTTTTATAATCTTTTTCGACTTAGGTTTCGTAGAGAAAGACACTCTGACGTAGAAAAAGGAGAATCAAAAGAAGGGGAATCCAAGGAAATTCAAATCCGAAAATTGCCTTCGACTGATGAAACTATAGTGGCACGACCAAAACCCAGCAAATGGGGAAGATTATTAGGTAAACATACATTTTTTATGAACAATTTTTATTTTAATTACCAGGAGAGAACGGCTTTCGCGAAGATATTATGCACGCGTGTACGTTTAGGTTTTGGGCTTAAATGCTGTGGCTTTGCTGTAAACAAGACTAAACTCATAAGGATTGTCCCCAGGATATCCGCTGAGATCGAGGATATGTCAGCCAGACATAACCTTAAATTTAGGTCAAATTTAGGCAAGAAATCCCTCCCCCTAACCAAGAAACAAACATAATCTCAACATTTAGCTCAAATTTTTTAGGGAAATACCCCTCCAACCAACAAACGAACATGGCCTCAAAATTTATGTGAATTTTGACTGAGAATATAATCGCAAGTCTCCAGGATTGTCGCTGGGTTCAAGAGAATATATTTGCAAGCTGACTTCAAGCAAAATATTTTAAGTGAGAGGACATTTTGTTACTTGCATTAAACTTGCTACATGTTTGCATTGCAATCTTGCACAACTTGCACGGCAAGCTTCCTGCAAGTTTTCGTGCTGATTGGGTACATGTGATAACCGCGCGTTTAGTCTCGTTCGTATCTCCTTTTCGTTTTTCTCTCATGCGGAGAGATTAAATTACACTGCCCTGTATAGGTTAAATACAACATTCTACTCCATTAATTAAAATTAATTTTGAATAATTTAAAAATATTTGCAAAAATTATATATCGTTGTAATTGTATTAACATGTACATTACAAATATAATATTTAAAGAATTATTTTTTTCATATTCAACAATTTTTAATTTTACAATGAAAAGCCATCAAACCATAAAAGACCTATACTTTTCTTTTTGTCCTTTTGTAACGTACGTATTATAATTATATGGAATCACGTTTGTATGACAAGGACAGAAAAGGGATGGCGTCAATGACTACGACTATACTATTAAAGTAACTACTTCAAATTTTAAATTTGTATTTATCATTTTATAGTAAGCTAGTTTCCTTACATTTAGTTATAAGAAAGCAACATTTCTATTGAAAATTCCTACAAAGTTTCCTACGTGTGATCCTTTAAAACCAATCTATAAGAAATCTTCATAAGATCCTTTGTAAGATCTTACGTGGGATGCGTTTAAGGATGCTTTCAGACAACATACGACATTACTGTATGAATTTGGTTTAGGCAATGTTACAGGAAACTATATAGTTTTCCATATAGTTTCCTACGTACGATCCTATAAAAGATGTCACTGAAAATTAAAAAAATTTTGAATTTTTTTTTATTTATGTCATTGTTGCCTTGCTTGTTTTTCGATTTCTAGTATTTTCGAGAAAAATTTGAAAATAAATTTGGAGGGACTGGGGATTCAACCCGGGTTCGACGCGCGCTAGCTAAAGACCCTATACACTAACCTAATCACCGACTACCGAGAAAAAAAATCTTCCTCATACTCTGCCATCTAAAGTTTCTACTTTCAGTCTTTCTGCAACTTTCTACTTCTGATCTCTTATGTAAAATAGAATATGAGTTGATCGCTCAATCAATCTCTGAGCGAATTTGATCAGTTTTCACTCAATAACCCTGGAAAATTAGGAAAACCGTGTTCGAACCGAATACGGTTCGATTTTGGTTAACTTTGGTTAAAAGATAAAAAAGATGTTAAAACATGAAATATGTTTAAAAACCATTGATGCTGATATATTATGATTACTTAAGTTTATATATTCAATAATTTAGTTAAATTAAGCTCTAATTAGTGAGTAATTAATGTGTATAGTGCAGTGCTTACTTGTTAGTTCAAGTGCGCTTTACCTGTAATTTTGTGTATAAAAATACATATTTTTCCCAAAAAAAACATTTATTTTTATTAAATAATTAAATATAGTGCTTAAGTTTTTTAATAACTTATTTAATTAGTCCTTAATAAATGTTTCATTTAATAAATTTTCTTTGGGTTTTTTGTGCGCGATTTTACCCACGACACAAATAATTCTTTAGTTTGGTTGTAAATTGTAGATGGCGATGAAATATAGTATTTTAAAATCGACATTATAATTGATTTTGGATAAAGTTCCTAAAGAGATCCACCTCCGATTTGAATAAAACTTTGTATACTAACGTATTTTAATGCGCTGATTACAAAAATGATAGTAAATATTGGCGCAAATTTGATTATCATGGTGAAAACCATAAAAAAAACACCATAAAATCATGGTTTTTTGCAATTAACTCGTAAAAAACGCAAAATTTCGAAAATTGATTTAGACGAAAGTTGTAAGTCTCAAAAAACACACATTTTATGTTGTTTAAACTTTTTACCAAAAGTGATTATTTTTAGAAAAAAATCCAAAAATCGACAAATAACATAAAAAATTGGTGAAGTGCGAGTTACACTCACCTACCTAATGTTCCGTTCACGATTATTTAAATATTTATATATATATACCCACATAGCACCGAAGATTTAATAAATATTTATTTTCAATGTTCGCAGTATTTAGAATAAAGGTTAAGTAAAGCTTCTGTAAATATTTAAATGTCCGCACTTGATCAAATGTTTAGCGCGAACCTTGAGTGAAGCATGAAATTAAATATTCGTTAAAGGTTCGCCCAGATATCTGGATTTTAAAATTATCTAATCATAAAGTATTAATTATATTAATAATAATAATAATAATAATAATAATAATAATAATATAATTACATCTTTAATTTGAATCAGTTTAATGAATAAATTGATTTAAGAAATTTTAGTTTTCAAAAATGAAAAAAATAATAATTTCTTAAATTTAGGGACTCATACTTGATTAAGCAATTTTTTAGAGACTAAATAACGAAATTGATTTTGAAAATAAATTTGGGGGACCGAGGATCGAACACGGGTTCGACGAACGCAAAGGCAATACCTACATCCAACCGAGCTATACGAGCAACTATGATTGGAAAAACAAATCTTGCTCTTAAGCTGCAAGTGATTTTATTGGTTTGCGGAAAACGGAGTGATAATTTAAAACTAGATATTTGGTTTTGATAGTATATAACAATTTTCCTTTAATCTACTCGCAAAAATACGTATGTATACCAAGTTTGAACATCCTAGCTCAAAAACTGTAAAAGGGGGGCACGTTTTTTCCCGAAATTTCGAGTTTTTTGAACATAACTATATTCAATTCAACTCCAATCGGATTCGCTATAATTTTCGTTTAATCTACTCAAGAAAATACGTATGTATACCAATTTTATGCTTAATCGGCTGAAACGGCTAGGTTTTAGAGAGGGGACATGATTTTATGGACGGATATGAGTAAAACCATAAAGGTTAACGAAACCCTAAAAATGAGGGTGAAACAGTCCATACATAAATTATACAGAAATTTGGTACTTGTAAGTATACTGTTTTTGCCGAAAAATAATAATGTTTAGTAAATAATATACCCAAGTAGCACGATATATCAACCATATGTCACGGTGATATCACCGGGGAATGTCACCTTGACATCAGGAAAATGTCAAAATGTCCGCCTTACGGTGATATCACACGGTGACATCGAGGTGATATTATGGTGACATCAAGGTGATATCACAGTCATATCACAGTGATATCATGGTGATATCACCGTGATATCATGTTGATATTTTACAGGGACTTAAAATTTTTAATAATTTAAAAAATAATAATAAATAAAAAAAAATAATAAAAAATAATCATTTTTTAAAAATTTTAAATCCCTGTAAAATACCAACATGATATCACGGTGATATCACCTTGATGTCACCATGATATCACCCTGATGTCACCATGATATCACCTCGATGTCACCGAGTGATATCACCGTAAGGCGGACATTTTGACATTTTCCTGATGTCGCGGTGACATTCTCCGGTGATATCACCGTGACATCTGGTTGATATATCGTGCTACTTGGGTATAGGAAATAAAATGTGTGTTTTTTTGACACCTATAATTTTGTCTAAAACAATTTTCGAAATTTTGCGTTTTTACGAGTTAATTGCAAAAAACCATGATTTTATAGTGTTTTTTATGGTTTTCACCATGATAATCGAATTTGCGTCAATTTTCACTACCATTTTCGTAATCAGCGCATTAAAATACGTTAGCATACCAAGTTTTATTCAAATCAGAGGTGGACCTCTGTCGGAACTTTATTCATCAATTATAATGTCGATTTAAAAATATACATATGGAAACAACTGTGTTGTTACCCATAAGCGTAGCTTGGAAGCCACTAGTCGTTTCGTCCCGGTCCCCACTACTGGACTCATCAGTAAGGCTACATAGTGGGAAACGTGCCTTATACGACCATGGGGTAGTGAGAGTTGGATCGTGTATATGGGTGATTCTCCGTGTAGCGCACGATTTGGTGTCTGAAACTTTAAAAATATTTTTTTATCGAAATGATAAATATTAATACAGATTTTTGAAGATAAAGTGTCAAGAAATAAATGTCCATGGTGGGCTGGAAAATTTTTTTATAATTTTTAAGTTTATTTAAACAAATTAAAAAAAAAGTTCTTTGCTTTTTGAATTCTATAAAATAATTGAAATTTGATTTAAAATGTTTATGGAAATTTTTGGGGTAATGCACAAAAATATATATAGCGCGAACGACAATTAAAAATTTTGATTTCGGTAATTTATGGAAATTTTCGAGGTAATTTATGGAAATTTATGCGGTAAGTTATAGAAATTTTGTCTAAAATTCATAAAAATATGTAAAGCATAAATCGCAATTAAAAATTTTAATTTCGGTAATTTATGGAAATTTTCGCAGTAATTTACAAAAATATATATAGCGCGAACGACAATTAAAAATTTTATTTTGGAAATTTATGTGGTAATTTATGGAAATTTATACGGTAATTTATAGAAATTTATTTGGTAAGTTATAGTAAACTTACCGGAACTATGATAGTTTATAATAAATATTTTTAATTTCGTTTATTTCATTGTGTATTAAACTTGCACTAGTGACGGTCGATATTCTGTGGCGGGTGGAGACGCTGGGGTC